GTTTCTAGGTCCTAAAGAAATTTTTCTCAAACTTGGGCCATTTAAAGATGAGTGCATATAAACCCCAAGATCCCCCAAGCGAGGGGGGGTGGCTGGGGAATTCTGAGAGTTGAAGTCCACTCATCTTAAAGTGGCCAAGTTTGGACAACACTGCCCTATGAGGGCAGACTCCACCACTTCTGGAGTGCTTATTAAATTGCATCCAGATGGTTGCCTCCTTTCCTTCCGTCCTCTCTCAAGGGCAGTTAGCAACTGAATGGAGAAACGTGCCCTGCAAAGCAGGTTCCCCCTGGCTTAACTGATAGCGGCCACTGTGGCTCCTTTGACTAAGTTGCTGATCCTCCCATTTACTGCTTTTCCCAAAAGTGATAAACTGGGCAACAGTGATCAGTACAGATAGTCCTCGACTTATAATCATTCATTTCAGCTACCATTCAAACTTACAATGGTGCCGAACGAATGGTAGCTGTAACTGGTCCTTGGAGTTATGGCTGTCCCAACACCCGTGGTCATATGATCGCAATCTGGGCACTTGGCAACCCGTTCACACTTATAACGGTTTGCCAAGCACCCTGCGATCATGATTGCCATCTGCGACCTTCCCTGTTGGCTTCCCCAGAAAGTCAATGGGGAAGCCAGCAGAGAAGGTTGCAAGTCACTGGGGTAAGTCTCCTCCACCCACACACCGTCCCCAGCCCCACTGCACTTGTGCCGCGCTGGCCACTTGCACACCCCCGTGTACCCTCCCCAACCTGTGCAGCACCTCTCACGCACCCCCTCTGACCCTACCCCACATCCCCACACACCCCCTCACTCACTCCCCCACCTGGCAGCAGCCACTTACCTGGCTGCCAGCCTGGGACTTACAACTTCCTGCCGGTTTCCCCACTGACTTTGGTTGTGAGAAGCCAGCAGGAAGTTGCCTTGCCTAATGACTGTGGGATTCAGTTAATGACAGCAACCAGGACTGCAGAGATTGCCGTTGCTAAGTGATGCGGTCACACTTTAAGATTGCATCACTTAGTGACAGAAAATCCGGTCCCAATTGTCATCGTAAGTTGAGGACTACCTGTACTAAGAAGCTTGTAGGTTGTAATCTGAACATATCTGGAAGGCATTACCTTGGGAAACGAAAGCCTTAAAGCCTTGGAGCATGTGCTATATATGTTGATCTAAGCAGAAAGTGAACTCCCAAAATTATCGATCTAGTCTGTGGTGATGATGAAATGGAGGCAAAAATCCATTTCAAAAACATTCCATGGAAAGTTATCTTCTGAGAAAATTCAGCTGGGGTTTATTTATGTATAAACTATCTTGAAAGAAGGATGATCTAAGAGGAGCAAAGGTGAAGGCATTCTTGAGTTGAACTCCACTCCTGACTGTGTCATGGACATCTCCATATAGGACTTGGGGTTTCAGGGGGAGAGGGTAGAATCCAGAACTTGTTTACTTGTGCCTTCTGAGAGACTAGAAAGCCTGCAGTTGGAAGCCCATTGCTTTCCTTCATCAATACTAGAATATATTGGGTCAGGTCCACATTTGCACCTGAAATCACTCCACTGCCAATCTGTAGGTGGTCAGCAGAGGAGACAGGAGGGGGCATATTTCACTGAAGACTGGAAGCATGAAAAACA